TAAATGTGCGGGTGATTGCCCTGCATCGTCGTGTGGAGGGTGGGATCATCAGACCATTGATCAGCTGACATTTGTTGGGTGAGCGATCCGGCCTCGATACGGTTGACCTACATATCAGACACCGGGCTTATTTGGCTGCTTAGCGATCTTTTATTAGCCAATGTTTCATGGAACTGGAGCTTCATCGAACATAACTTATAGAAGCGGTGTTTTTTAACGATACTTTATGAAACTGATGTTTTTTTGATAACTCTGATCTATAAAACCACTGTCTTTTTAACGATGCTTTATGGATCCGCTGTTTTTAACGATGGTTTATGGACCCAATATTTTCTTGATAGTAGTGATCAATAGAAACAGTGTTTTATGGGATCTGTGTTATATTGAACCCGTGATTGTTGGAAACGGAGTCTTTAAAAGGCACAGAATTTTATAGAATCGATGACTTTTAGAGTTTAATGAAACTGGCGCAGTTTGTTTGAAAATGGAGATGGAGGGGGTGTTTGTTTTTCCGGTGGGTTGGGAAGGTGGGGTGTGTGACTGGTACAAAATGCCGATTGTAAGTGTGGTTACAGTTGTGCGTGAGGGTATAGTATCTTAGACGATCAAAGTGAAGAAAAGTGTGAGACTGTTGAAAAAGGCCTTCTAAAGTCAAACTTTGGTGTAAACAATAATTGTTCGACATAAATGATTGCTTTGTCACATTTCAAATTCACTTTAAAAAAAATGTTGTAATATATGAACGAGACGAAATAGAGGCGGGAAACTGGCGATGAATAGTTTTGATTTCAAAGTTTGAATGATCGAGAGATTGTCAGCCTTGACGACTCTACCAGAACTTGATCTGTGTACACAAGAAACAACCACCACGCCCACTTTTCACGACCCGGCGTCAAAGAAATAGAACAGGGGAAAGACGGCTGTTCCTATCAGGGCTACCTGTACGACGTTCTTGCTCAGATGTGTTCTAGCTAACTTGTGCTGCTTTTACATTTTTAGTATACATCTTTAGTAAATCAGTGTCAACAATGACCAGTGCCCCCCC